AAGAAATTAAGTTTTCTTCATAGCTTAGTGCTAATTAATTAGTTTAATCAGACTGCTTTTTTTAATAGCATCTCTAGATGGTTATTTTTTACAAATTTGAACACTCTCCTAGAAGTACTAGGGAGACAAAGTTTTCATGGGGGGTGTTATAAGGAGAAAATATGGAAAATATGGACAAGTTCAGTCAAAATGTTAGTTGCTTATTATGATTAATCATACTTTCAATTTTCGGTATGATCACTACTTATACCTGTCAAGGACATCTCTTGATTACAATATGCTATGGCAATAACAAAAGTACCAGATTTTCACACTGGTGTATGTCTTAGTTTCAATAATTACCAGTAGCTACCTAAGGTATGACCTTGGGTAAACTCTTAACCTCCCAGACTTCTCATTTTCTTTGTGTAAAATAAAAGTGTTAAATGGATTGGGGGGGCGGGGCAGATGGCCCCAAGTCATTTCCTCCTTTACATCTATAATTAAACTAGAACCTGAAAGAACTTTAGCAACCATGAACTCCAGTGCTTCCCAATAATTTTGGTTTCCTTCACCCTTTTCAACAAAACCAGCATGTTATGAACCCCCATGGCAATTCAATATCTTATTCATAATATTCTGCAATTATTTACTTCTTAAGGCACTATTAAAGAACTATAGGTACAAACCCCTTGGACCATTGTCCAGAACTCATTAACCACTAAACAGGAACTACTGATCTACTTTAACTCACCCATTTTGCTGCTGAGCAAACTGAGATCAAGGGCCCAAAAGTCTTGACTAAACGACTTCCTCCCTCTGGATCTCAGTATTTTCATATATAAAGTAGGGATAATAATATCTGCACTAGCCTACTTTATAGCTGTTGTAAGACAAAGCCTTAGGTAAATTAAAAAAGCATTTTCTAAATATGAACTCTTTTTTCTTTTTACTCCCAATACGTTTAAAAATTGAGAATGGCTTTGTAAACCAAAATATCGTGCAGCAGAAACCAGGTTTACCCTGAATCATGCTAATCAGAGGAAGCGACAGTATACCATAGCCAAAGCAAGCCCAGAGTGAGAATCACGGGAGCATGAGTTGGTCAGGGCAAGACTTGGAGATTTATCTCATCTGCCTTCTTTCGCTTCTTTATGTCACTGGAAGCAGTACTCACACAATGGCCTGACTGCCCCCTACAAATTCCATGCCCGTTCCTACATCTGTGCCTTTGGGGTCCCACCAGCCTGAAACGCTGCCCTTCATTCTCTCAGTTCATATTATTTTAACACTGAAAACAAGCTCATGCTCCACTTCCTTCATGCGGTTCTTTCCTCTAAGCCTTGGTGATCCCTCCCTTCTCTGCATTCTTGTCACAATTAAATGTATAAACCATACAACATAATACTGTATTTTTTGCACAGGGAGCTTCATATTCCAAATCCAAGTGTCCCTCCTCCCATATTTGGGAATAAAGCTAAGACTAAATACCATCCTCTAAAACTAAAGTTGGTAAGAATTAAGAAAAAATGAGCAAAGCTAGACAGTGGCTGTAGAAGTAACCCAGTCTAAGAGAGTTTATAAACATGATGCTGATAACACTAAGGTGGCTATTAAAAATATCACGGACAAGAAGTTACGCAGGAGATCGAATTTTCACCTTGCCATGTAATTCTCCATCCAGTGACACTGGCCTCCATGCTGTTTCTTGAACAAGATGCTCCCACTGCAGACTCCAGGCATTTTTCATCTGTCCCCCATTCCTGGAACATTCTCTCTCCTCATCTCCACCTACTGGCTTCCCTGGCTTCCTTCCGAGTTCCAGCTAAAATGCCATCTTGTTGAAGCTCTTCTGATCATTCTTAATTCTTGTGACTTCCCTCTCTGAATTATTTCCTCTGTCTATACTTATTTGTTTGCTTGTTGTTTCCTCCATTAGACTGTAAGCTCCTTGAAGGCAGGGACTGTCTTTTGCTTCTTTTTGTATCCCTAAGGCTTAACAAGGTGCCTACGGTATACAGTAAGCCCTTCATAGATGCTTACTGACTATAAGCAACCAAGGGTATAAGCTTAAGGATTGTAATGTAAGATTTATCTTATTATTGGAAATTGTATGTTTGCGTACAGGTGATTTCATGACAGGTTCATGCTAAGATCTAAGAATTCAATTATGCACAGCGCTAGGAAGGGGCCAGGAGACAAAAACAAGACAGGGTGAGGCCCCAAGGAACTTTCTCCTTCTACAGGGAGGATACAAGTTCACAAATATGTTAAGTACAAAGTATTTACAAAGCAATTTCCTGGGAGAGCCAGCCCTATCAACTAGAGAGATCAGGCATGGCCTCAGGGAGGAGGCGTACCTGGGATGGGTTCCAAGAAAGCTAGAGATTCCATAAGGCAGAAGGGAGCTCCACCCATAGGGTCAGGAAAAGAAAGGCCACATACAAAAAAAAAAAAAAGAGACCAGGACAAAGTGACAAAGGGATAAGTTTGTGTGAAAAACAGGAGCATGAAGAAAGACTGGAAAGGTAGGTGAGGCATCCCTCCAGTATTACCCAGGACAAATTTTAGACAGCCAATACCAGTCCTTCTGGCCATTCTTCCTGCATTAAATGCCACCTTTTTCAAAAAAGCAAAAAGAACAGGGCCAATAATGGCCAGTAAAGGTGAACTTGCCTTAAAGATGGGGGGGGGAGAGAGTCATTCTCTAAATTTTTTTTTCTTCCTATTCTCTTCCCTCTAGAAATAGCCAGATCCAGCAACCTGCCTGTTTGTTGTGGCCAGTGAATCAGCAAACTATTTATATATAGTATATTCAACAATCCAGGTAAAAAACCAAAGCTTTGACTGGGCACTGGGGCCAAGCTGGGCTGTAGATCAGGGCATCATTACAGAATTCGTATGATGAATCCAAAGCAGTCTGGGCAATTTTATGAGCTTGTACTCAGCACTTCTATTTTACCTGTTTTCCCTAGTATTCAATTTATACTTCTCTCATGCATTCATGATCTGTTCTGTATTAGTTTTTCTGCGAACAGGTTATAGCCACCTCCTAGATTATAAGTTCCATGAGAGAAGGGCTCAAGTTTTGGTAAAAATTTTATAAATCTCCCATAATGCCTAGCATGGGCCTCTGCATAAAAGAGGTGATTGATAAATGATTGTTGAACTGAATTTTCCATCCAGATAAAGAACACAGAACTTAAGAGGTTAAGAAGAAAATGAAACCCAAGATAAGTAAAGCACAGAAAGAGAACATCTTACTGTCTTAAAAGAATTCAAGGCAACTAGTCCAGGGGAAAGATCGTCTCAAAGTTATAGGAAGAACTTGCAAATGTGAGGAATAGGGGAGAATAGGAGAGATGCTACATACGAGCAAAGTCCTTATTCTTTAAAAGATTCCACAAACCAAATGCCACAGTTTTACATCAATACTCAGCAAATTCATAGAAGAGGTTATTAAAAGAATAAAGAAAAATGGCAAATCTACTATGAGCCAACCAACTTCATTAAGAACAAGCCAGATAACATAATGTGCTTATGAAGCCCATATCCCAAAGACATTGAAGAGAAAAAGTCCTATACGCACAAAATTATTTATAGCAGCTATTTGTGTAGTGGCAAAGAACTGGAAAGTAAAGAAATGCCCATCAACTGGAGAACAGCTAAACAAATTATGGCACACGAATATAATGGAATGCTACAGTGTTGTAAGAGATTATAAAGAGAAACCTTGGAAGACTTGCATGCACTGATTCAATGCTACCCAAGCAATGCTTCCCAAGCTGAGAATTACATGGGTCGTCACTTTGATTTTTATTTAGCAGCAACAAAGTGAGCAACATGACCATATAAAAAAGTGGCAAACTTACCTTCTTTACAACAAGTAACATCTCCTGCACGTATTTATTATTTTTCAAACATACGTGGATAAAAGTGGTGATAAAATGAAAATTCCATTAAATTTTTAAAAAGGGTGGGAGGCTACTAAGATGGACTAATTTAGGCATACATTATCAGACAAGGTTTTGTGATCAAGGTTTTTTTTGCTTATTTGTCACAACAGATGTTTCAATGGGGAAGACTGATAAAGACAAATATCAAAAGAAAGTTGTTTAAAGGAACAAGTTATGCCAGACTGATTCCATTTACTCTTGTGATGCAGACATTAGGAAAAAAAGATCAAAGAAATAACAGAACATCTTTGAACTTAAACCATTGGGTAAAGACTCTCATGAAAACCTAATGGCTAAGATGGAGAGATGTGACCTGGATGATAATGTGATTAAGGAAGATTCAGAACTGGCTGAATAACCAGAACCAGCACTGATTAATGGGTTAATGTCAACCTGGTTGGAAGACTCAAGGCTCCATTACTGGCCTGTTCTGTTAACCATTTAGATGTAAAGTCTTGAGTACAGTAGGGTTTTGTTGGTGTTTTAAAGTATCAGATGTGGAATTGTTGACTCAGTAGTAATTAATGTTTTTTTTTTTAATCTGGAATTTTTGATGAACTGTGCATTGGCACGCTTCTTCATGAAAAAAAGGCTTATCTGATTAATTACTGTTAAAAAAAATTAATAATCTTCTGGAAGAACACTACTCTCCAAAGATTCAAGATTGTAGGTCTCAACCAATGGACAACAGAAAGGAGTATGGTGGGCGTGAGTAGGTACTATTAAGGATAAAGCAGTGGAAAATTATACAAGTAGGGAGGGTAGAAAAGGAAGTGGGTGGGTCATCTACTGGGAACAAAGGATAACCAAGGGACAGCTTCCCCACTAGTATGTCTGTAACATCAAGAGACCTAGCAGACGGTCACCAGCACAATTAGTGTTTTCCCTGTGGACAAGAATCACCCAAGATGAAAACTGTGGATGGGTTGTTTTAATTGATTTAATTAAAATGAGTAGATGATATTAGATCAAAACTGACAGCAAAATTCATTATCAGTCACTGGAAATTTGGGAGGTAACTAGTTAGATAACCTGCTGATGTACTCATAATTTTAAAATCCTTACCTGCAATAGGGATGAACCCCCAGGATCTGACGTTGCAGCTTCATTCTGCATCGTATTCTGTTGTGTGATAGCATCTTCTCTTTTCCTCTCTTTTTGGCCTGCTTCATCATCATCATACTCATCTAGACACTTAAAAAAAAAGATTTATTGCTATATATATATGCAAATGATAGATGACTCTGGTAATAGGTTAAAATATTTACATGCAATTATTAATTATATTTGCCCACTGTCAGCATGCAAACCTATTAGATGTGTTCTTGAAGAACTGAATCTAAAGTTAATTTTAATAAACTGAGCCACATTTTAAATGCATCAAGGGTGAGTGCAGACAGTGAACCAATTCCAAATCATGAACAATTCCATCAAGCAAAAGCAAAATAAAAAATCCTTGGGTAGGTAACTTAAACCTTCCTGAGCCTCAGTCTCCTCACTTGTAAAATGAGAAGGTTGATCTAAATGACCTACGTCCTATTCCAGCTCTAAATCATATGATTCTTTTGTACTGCTAACAACCTAAATCGGCCTACTTGCAGTTCCTTCTACAGGACATACTATTTCCCCCTAGGCACAAGACATCCATCCATCTGCCAAGCCTGAAGAGCATTCCCTCCACAAAGGACCTCCCAGAACCCTCTGCTTTCTTCCAAGCTTAACGTAAGTCCTCCACTATTAGTGCTCTCCTCCCTCCCTGAAGCTAAAATGATTCTGTATACAATTTGTATTTTTTATATCATGCCTCCCGAACCCTAATGAAAGAATGTGAGTTCCCTAACATTAGTTATGAGCACTAAAGTCATTCTCCACAGGCCCCGATCTGTTAAAAGGTTAACATTTACCAGCTATGACAAAACAGACATTTACAACATAAAAAATGGGGATAATATTAACACGGCCTATTTCAGGATATAGCGCGGTACAGAGTGAAGAGTACAGGAGAGGGTTCGGCCAGTTACCGTGTGACCCTAGCCAAGTCACTTAAACTCTCACCTCACCTACAGAACAAAAGTCTTGTAAAATGGCCCCAAAGGTCCTCCTTCCTAAGACTAGAGAGAGAACGGAATTTTCCTTCTTTTCCTGTCACTGTTTCTCAGTATTTCCTGAGTCTTTGACTGCTTTATTCCTCCATTCACCAATCCACATGCATTCTCTCATCTCTGCATCTTTATAGACCAACTACCTTTCACCTAGAAGCAGTAGCAACAGTATAAGTGCACATGTTTTCAAACAGTATCAAATCTCCCACAAGTATTTCTGGTAAATCACAGTATTCAACAATTCAATCAAGGCCATCACATGTCAGTCCCTCTATGCACGCATGTATGTATACTTACACACACATGTATGTATACACATACATATATACATGTGTGTATTCATATCCGCATCCATACATGCATGTACACACACACATAGAAAAGTAATACTTCTCATCTGGTTTGGGTCACTTCTGTAGAATAGGTTTAACATGTGCATGATCAAACGATCCATATACGCCATCATTTACATAGTACATAAAGGTCTGGTCATTCGCCTCACCTTCATCAATGGATTCCAGAAACCCACTATCTATTTTGTGATGTCTTAGCCAGCATGGCAAGGCACGCAACAAACTAAGGACCAAGGCTTTCCAGCAGAAGTAAATGATCAAGATAATACCACTTTACCATAATCTTGTGCTTGGGAAAGTGGAACGAACATCACTCAACAGCTTGTACTTCAGCTAGTACTGACATATAGAATGCTGTTTGTAGTCATGACTTGAAAGTCGAGCTTGAATTGGAAAGCTTGGGGGGACCATTCACTTGATTCCTGCTGGAGTTTTTAAATACGTTTAAAGAACAGGGTTGGCACAAACGCAGCAATATGGACGACTAAGAGCTGACGTCACACTTGTCTGTGTGTTCCTATGGAAATAGTTTTTGGTTTTTAAATTCACCTTTTACCTCCAAACATGTTCCACAGGCCTTACTCAGAGTTATAATCAGACCAGAGGGACCAGAGCTTTACTCTAGGACCTTAAAATCCAATGGACTGACTCCAGAAATATGTACTTTCTGTCTCTCTAGAGACCACATTCACACCAGACTCCATCTCTTAGCCCCAGGCTACTGCCCCAACAGTATTCTCCCTCAGCATTACCAGTCTCCTATCCCCTATTCTTATATTTTGTTTATTTTGTTCATTTCTATCCAGCTGGCACACTTTTTCTAATGAAAATCAGTTAAAACAAGGCCTATCCAAAGAGGCTTGGGCAGAACTATAAATAAAAAGTTTCCTTCACTCCTGACTTTTATTTTCTTTAATAATTAAAACGTCAGAAGAAAAGTGGAACCTAACTTTGTCATGTGACCAAAAGATCAAGAAAAGGACAAAAAAAAATGATCCTCCTCCTTCCTCTTCTCCCCAATGACCCATCTAGCCATTTCTTGGTGCCACATCCATCCTCCAGGCCTCAGTTCCTTCATCTGTAAAAGGAGGCTGAACTAGATGATCTCTAAGGTACTTCTCAGCTCTAACATTAAAAGATTTTCGAATCAGAGTTAAAGATCCTATGCCATTTCTGTGGGGAAGGGAAGAGATGGCACGAAAAAGAAAAATTGAAGAAAAAAAAATTATTTTGGATGGGGTAAAAGCCTGAGACTTAAACGGAAGAGGAAAATGATGAAAAATAAACTAAAGATTCCTTTCCAGAAATGACGATACTTGAAAGAAAAGTAGCAATGGTCCTCAATAGGAGCTGTGCCCTTCTGCATATACGGAAAGAAGTTTGCTATTCTGCCCGACCAACATTCCTTACTTTTAACTTCATGGACCAGAAACATGGGAAGGAGGTACCAACTAACTCGAGTCCAAATTGTTCTCAATCCAATTAGGAAGCAAGTCAGCTTTTTACATAGCATACAATCACAAAATGTGCAGAAGTCCTCCCTCTATTAAATCAAATAATACACTCATGACGTACTTTTTCTGCCTCAGAGGCACAGCCTGTATCATGCATCTCAGATGAAGTTTGGAAGGATGATAAATAATATTTTGGAAAGTAAAATAACTGAACCAAAAAGGAAGTTAAAAAAGAAACCACTGGTTTTCAATGCTAACAAAATAAAGATTCCCACGAATAGAACTACTGACCTCCAAAGTTTCTCAAATAAGGGAATACATGCTGTTCAAAAATATGAAAACATTATGATTTAGACTCCTGTTACAGATGGGACCAAGTTAAAGAAAAGTAACCTAACAAAATGAAAACTATGTATAACTTCAAACAAATGTCGATTTAATCAAGACAAAAGAAAACTCTGCCCTGAATCTATTAGTTCAGAAGAACCCAAAACAATGACACAACGCAAGATAAAATAAAAGAAGATTCTGCATCAATCAAATAACAAACCATGTATGAAGCTCCTATCAGGCACCAGGAATGACATAAGGTGCTGGGGAAACAAGCATAAGTGAAAAATAAAACAATGGTCTCTACTCAGCAGTACACAGTCAAATGGGGTAAGTGTATCATAAATAAAAGTGAGTCAGTACAAATAAATACAACTAGTTAAATGTAACAAAGCTGCCAAAGAATTTCTAACTCTTGTCAAGAGTTCAATGATAAGCCAGGTGGATCAGACATGGTAAAAGCAAAGATGAGAATTGTTTAATCAATCAACCTGCAAGTATTTATGAAGTATATACTGTGTAACCAGGGCAGCAAGATGGCGCTGTGGAAAGAACGCCAGGTTTAGAGTTAGGAAGACTTATCTTCTGGAGTTCAAATCTGGCCTCAGACATTTACTAGCTGTGTGACCCTGGGCAAATCATAAACTTAACCCTGTTTGTCTCAATTTCCTCATCTGTAAAATGAGCTGGAGAAGGAAATGTCAAACCACTCCAGTATGTTTGCCAAGAAAACCTCAAACAAGGTCGCAAAGTTGGAGACGACTGAAGAACAACGATAAAGTATGCATCCATCACTATGCTAGGCACTGTGGAAGAGAAAACTACAATTACGGTCTTTGTCTTCGAGTAACTTATCGTCTAAGAAGAGGGCAACTCATAACCTCACCCTCTGAGGCCACCTTGGTGAGATGCCTCACTTTCTGAACTTAGCTAGGTTAGTCCTTGGACATGCATCCCATTCTCAGGGTCCATTAAAAATGAATATTTTGCAGATTGTTTAGTTATTGTCCTCTAACTGATGATATCAAGTCTTGGATCATTTCAATCAGTTATACTGATGCTCTGTATTCCACTCACTTCTTTAGCCTGGTTGGGTATGCTTCATAAAAATACTTTAAATAATGGAGACATAACAGGCACAATTTAATGCCCTCCTAATAGACACTGGACTGCTAATCTCACAGAACTGAGGAAGTGATACCGAACCCAAACAATTCTTGTTGTTCTAATTTTGTTCCTAAATGTGTGGCAATTCAACAATCTCAAGTATTTTCCATCTAAACAACTTTTATCCAAATATGGAAGACATTCTGCATGACATTTGCACATCTGATCTTAATATAAGGAATCCACAGAAATTCCTTAGGTTTTCTAGCTTCTCAAACATTTGAGGCTGAAGAATGAACATGTTCCTATAGCCCTCCACCCCACCATGGAAAATAGGGCAGGCTTTTTTTTAAATGAATCACAGTGATGGGGAATACTCAAAACACCATCAGACTCCCCACTACTAATTATAATGAATGGGGACAGAAAAAAAAAAGGTCAGAGTAGATGAAAACCACTAGAAGGGGAGAAAACTGCTTGGAGAGGGCTTAGAATTATTAATGACCCATTTTAATTTGGCAAAATCTTCTGAAACTTTACTGGAAAGAGGATATAGTCTATAAGTAAAAATGATGTGGCATGTGGTAAAACAATTACCAGTTGTGATTCTGAGTTAGTAAATAAATGGTCACCATGCCTCTCAAACATGGAGAACACTGAAGATATCCTGAAGTGGATACCTCCTTGGTAGGATTCATTTCATCTTCCTCCCTAAACCATAAGTATTTCCTCTTCTCTTTCCAACTTTAAAAATAAAATTACTCTTAAAATTTTTATTTTAATTTTTTTGGGGGGTGGGGAAGGAGAAGGAGTAGTGCAGTTTCTGAAATTGTGATTTCATGCCTGGC